GGATGTATCCCTGGTGCACAAAAGGACTTTGGGAGCACATTCCCCATGTAGGGATACTCCCTTAACCTAGAGGCAGAAGGGAGGGCCTAGTCCCTACTCCAAATGACTTGACAGATTTTGATGATCCCTCCTGGAAGGCATCACCTTCCCTGTGGAGTGTGTGTGTGTGGGGGGGGGGGTGTAATGGGATGGGAGGTTGGTCAGGGGGCATGGGAGGGAGCGAGGGAGGGTGAGGGAACTGGGAAATATATGTAAAATAAGAAAAATAAATAAGTAATAAATATATAAATAAATACATGAAAACCTATTAACAACTGATAATTGCTGGGAACTCTCTTCAACCAAATAGCACCAGGGAACCACACTCTAGAGTAGACACTATTATGTTCAGGGGTAGTTGGGCCAACACAAATTGGACCCCTTATTTTAAATTATTAGTCTTAAGAAAGAGAACATAAAGTTAGATGGTGTACTGGCCGGTTTTGTATGCCAAGTTACTTGACACGAACTGGAGTCATCAAAGAAGACAGAAGGAGCCTCAGCTGAGGAGATGCCTCCATGAGATCTAGCTGTGAGGCATTTTCTCAATTAGTGATCAGTGGGGGTGGGTCCAGCCCATTGTAGGTGGTACCATCCCTGGGCTGGTAGTTCTGGGTTCTATAAGAAAGTAGTTTGAGTAAGCTATGTTAAGCAAACTAGTGAACAGCCCCCCTCCATGGCCTCTGCATCAGCTCCTGACTCCAGTATCTTTCTTGCCATTTAGCTCCTATGACTTCCTTCAGTGATGAACAGCAAAGTGGAAATATAAGCCAAATAAACACTTTTCTCTCAGTGTGTGTGTGTGTGTGTGTGTGTGTGTGTGTGTGTGTGTGTGTATAACTTCTCAATATTTTTTCTTTTTCTGGTGTTCTAATATGTACAATCAGAAAACTATTTAGCTTAAAACTACCCTAGAAATACTCTATAGTTCTAAACTACTTTTAGAAAAATTGATTCACAGTTTGAAATTGGAAATGAATTAGAGTTGGAGCATGGCTTATTAGCTAGAGATTCACACTCACCTTCTAGAATACCCTAAATTGAGCTCCCAATACCTGTGTCCTCAAGACTGCCTGTAAATCCAGTCCCAGGGAATCTAACACCTTCCTCTGACCTCTGTGGGTACTGCCCTTAAGTGACACACACACTCAGACACAAATGGGTAAGACATTTGTAAATGAAAGTTGAATCAATACAGGTTATTTACTTCTCAAGATTTTTTTCTCTACATTCATGAAGCAAATACATAACAAGTGGTACATATTTAAACCTATGTTTCAGTTGTTTAAACTGTGCTTAAGAGATGGAAAAAAAAATCAGGTTTGGGCAGTGAACAACTTGGTAAACTGGATAGATAGCCAGGCACTTCTGGAGGCCATGGGAGCTACGGTAACAGGGTCCCTGGGCCAAAGTCAACATCAACAGCAACAGAGGAACTCAAGGACCTGAGAGATGCTGTAAGAACAACCACCTCTGCATCACCACCCTCCAGTGTGCTCAGCCTCCCACTGCTGTTTCCAGGAACTGCCCTTCAGGATCTTTTCCTTCATGGATTTGCAAATGGAACCTATTGCTCCACCCCATCGCTATCTGTATTCTTACTCTGTCCAGGGTTTAATTCATAGCTCCTGTTGCCACCAACAATATGTCTCTGTTGTTTTCTTCCCTTGTGTACACAAAGTACAATGTAATCTTGATGGTGGTTAGAACACTTTTTAATATATCTCTGACACTTGGAATTGCATATGACCATGGGATATTCTTTGTAAGCAATTACTGTTTGAGAGGTGAATGAAGGGATGAATGGTCATGCTAACCCAAGACTCCTACTACCAATCCTCTTAACAATTTTTGTTCCTGTTCCTAAGAGAACCTCAGCATTTAAGTCTCCCCTAGGGCACCATCATCAGTATGTATTGGTCCTCCACCCTGACCCTGCTGCCTCACAAGCCCTTGGCAAACAACCGTCATAACTGCACTTCTGATATTTTAGTAATACAGACCAAACATCCTTCATCTAAGGTGCCTAGGTACAGAAGTGTTTCAGGTTTTGTTATTTTTTTACATGTTTTGTGGTCTTTAAAAAAACATAATTAGATCCTAGGGGTGGGACTTAAGTTTAAACATGAAATTTGTTCATGTTTCATATGCATTCCACCCATAGCCTGGAAATTTTAATAGAATAATTATTCTAAATAATCTTTAAGAAATTCATATACACATATAGTATATATCATCTTTACCCCATACTCCTCTCCATATCTTACTCTAACCTCTCTCCAAATTCATATTTTCCCTTTATTTAATAACCCATTGACTCTTCTTTGTGTTGTTCATATACTCACAGTATGGAGTATGTTTTGCATACCAGGGGCAAATTCTTAAAGAAACAGACTTTCCTTAGCCCTTTTGGTTCAACTATGTTTTGATTGCAACCTATCGCATGGGGAATGTTTTGTTTGTGATATCATATCAGTACCCACAAAGTTTGGAACTTTTGAAATAGTTCTTATTTTGAATTTTTGGGTTAGAATATTCGACTTGCTCATCCATGTCTTTCTTCTGTCTCTGAAGTGGGATCTAACCAATATTTAGGCCTGAATGAAAGACACTCTTAACAACACACCTAAGAAGTAAGCATATATAAATGAATAAATGCCAACAGTATTTACAGTGGCCATAGATGAAGTTGCTGTCCTCAGTAAGTACACATGTTTTAAAAAGACAAGTCACATGGGAAAAATAAGAGACCACAAAGGGGAGAAAAGAAAAGGACTCCTGAGTCTCGGGCAGGAAAATGGGGACATTGCTGTGAGTGTTGGTAGCATTGTAATGGCCACATTCTTTTTCAAAGGGCAACTTAGAAATTGCAGTGGAGATCACCAGCATTTAGTTTCTAGGAATTTCTTCTGTAAAAACTTCCCTCTCATTATTGGAATGTCTGTAAGTGAAGACATAGTTTAGTTTGAAATCTGCATTGCTATCTAGTAGAGCAATACTGAATGGCATGAGAAAATTGCACCATGCTAGAATGTGTAATGTCCCACGGTTGAGTTTAAAAGTACTCTTCTAGATGATAGGGATGGCAGTGAGGAATACTCACATATCATCTGCCCTCCTAGACACTGATATATCTGCAAAACAACAGCAGAAATTTTGTGGCTGATAAGCATGGGAAAATAATAGTAAAGTAGGTCAAGAAAATAAAGACTATCTTCAATGTTTGCTATTTCTGTAATACTTGAAGACTTTGTAATACACATACTTTGGCTTTAGCAAGAACAGCAACAAGTTAAAGAGTAAAAATGTAATAAACCCACAAAAAGCATCTTTAAGTATATGTAAACCATTAAGTCTATTATGTATTTGATAACATAATTTAAGAAATAGATAAAATGACCAAACTGAGGGGGTAAAATGTTACCATTTATATGACATACTTAAGAATGTATTTAAATATCCACATTTGTGAAAGATGATGACATGAAAATTTTATGTACGTGTGCATATTTTATATACAGGAAGTAAATACACACACACACACACACACACACACACACACACACACATATATATATATATATATATATATATATATATATATATTGTCTTGAATGATACAACACAAAGAAGTAAAGCAGAAGTGTATATGGTATATGTCTAGGGAAAAATCTTTGTAGTTTATTTTAAATGTTGACACTGACTGTGCGTATAATCGAGTAAACATTTTAGATGTTCACTGAGTAAAATACTGGCTGATTCATTGCACAAGGCTCTGAATTTACTTAATGAACATCTGAAATGAGCCCAGTGTGAGAACACATACGTATAATTCCAGCATGTGGCAGCTGAAGCAGAAAGGTTGGGAGCTCAGAGCTGGCCAGTGAAACCTAGGGAGGAGCACACCAACCTGAGCTACGTGTGAAGACACTATCTTAGATGAAAATGATGAGCTAGTATATAGTACAAGTGGATACCCACTTCCCCAAAATGACAGGCAGGTCTTCTGGATGAAACAGAAGGCTGCAGAGAGTCCTGCTTCTTTATAATGAAGGTAATTTATACCTGTTCTCCTTAACTATGTAACCAATATGCCATCCCAGATTAGATAGTGTTGTAGTTTTAAGAAGTTATGCACTAGGGAAAGACAATATTTGATAGAGCTTTGTGTGGATGGGATTTTATTGGGGGACTGTGAATGGGAAAATGGAGAGGGGAGAAGAGAGACAAGCCTCTGGGGATAGTGGCCGAAGAGAGGAGAGAAGCAGAGAGAGAGACAGGCAGAGAACTGGAGAGAGAAAAAGAGGGAGTAAGATGGGAGGTGGGTAGGGCTCTTTTAAAAAGGAACATAGTGAATGTGTACAGGTGGTGCTCTTAGTGGCTGCAGCTGAGGGTGTATCCCAGCAGAACCGCAAGGACAGGCCAGTACAGAGGCCTTAATACTAACAAAGCATAAATTAAGTTGTTATATAGCCATCAAAGAAACCAATGAATTTGTCCCTTTATATGAAGGTTGATGGTATGTGGAAACACCAATGGTATAGGGTTTTTCATTTTGGAAAGTCTTCCCATATTTGTAGGTCGGCTTACACACAGTTGTACTATTTCATATTCGGAGTAACCCGTTAGGTTGCTGGGTTTTATTTTCCATGTAACCATTCTGTGTCAGATCCATTGTCTTCAATGAAGTTGTAATAGAAGTACTACAGGAGTTTGCTTCTGTTCACAGAGATGCAGGCCATCCCTGGAGTGTGGGCTGCCCTACCTGCTGCTCACCTCCCAACAAGAGAACTCTCCAGGGAGAGATTTAATTAAGTGGATTATTCTTTTAGTTCATGGCTGATCCTATTAAACTTTTAATGCTAATGAAAAGTAGCTATTGCTTTTACAGAGCCAATTGATATTCCGGGGGGAAAATGGCTAAATAAAACTCGGTGCTTGTTTCCATTCTCTCCCATCAGAGTCGGGCCACAAGAAGTTAAAGAGTACCATTCAGCGAAGTACAGAAACAGGAATGGCGGCTGAAATGCGGAAGATGGTGAGACAGCCAAGCCGGGAGTCCACAGATGGCAGCATCAACAGTTATAGCTCGGAGGGAAAGTAAGTGGCGTGGCTTGCTGCTGCCCACCTTAGGATATGGACTGTTTAGGATTTCCTACTGTGTCACTTACTCTCTTTAACCAGGAGTTTTCCATTTGTTACAAAGCTGACGTCCTATAAAATTGTTGCAAAGCTGATGTCCTATAAACACCTGGGGAGGGCACACCCTTGCTTCTGCTCAAATCTATCAAAGTAATAAAGTGAGGTCCTTCACTGAACAGATAGTATAGAAATGCCACACTTAATGACTTTTTTTCTGTAGGAAACATAATGCCCAGCTTTGTCACCAGAAGCTGAATGAAAATTTAGACATGTGAAACTGATTTCTCTCCAAACTATTCCGATCTTTAAGATGCTTTGAACCTGACACATTTTTACATATAAGAACTTATATTGTCCTGTTTTGAAAAGTACCACTAACTCATTTTACCTTAGCATGAAAATAAAACAGGCCCTATCTACATAATTTTTCCAATGAAAGCATTTTAGTTCTAAAATTGGTCAATTCTGAAGGTATATAAGAACATTCTTGGTTTTTGAATTTTTTTTTATTTGTGAGACCTTTTATTAAGTTGTGTGGTTATTTCCTATGCTTAAGAAATTTGGGGTTAAAGCTAACAACTCTTTGAGGAGAAATGCCTCCTCCAAGTATCCATATGCTTTAGTCACTAAAGTTTAGTGGGGTTGCAAGAGGAGAAATACACTTTTCTCATAATTATTCAGTCACCAGCATTGTAGCTACCTTGAAATACCACCGAAATATGACTAAGTTATGGTCTCCAAGACAGCTTCATAAATAAAGTGTGTGCCTAATGACCTAAGTTTTATGCTCAGAACCCACATAAAGGCAGACAGAAAGAACTGGTATCTAAAGGCTGTCCTCTGACCTCTATACACGGCCATGGCATATGCAAGCCTACACACACACACATACACACATTATATTATACAAACAAAATAATAAATACAAATTTTCAAAACAGAAGTCATTAAATGTTTGCTTTGTAAATAAGAAGTTGTATTGTCCAATATATATTAAATATACTAGCATCTGTTTAAAACTCTGCATTCATGTAATTTAATGCTCATGGATAAACATGTGACATTGATGATATATAAATATATACCTGGAACAGCTGACATATTAAAAATTGTTAGAGCATCCTCCTGAATGGATCCTTGGGCCTTAAGGTGAGATTATAGACCGCCTCTCAATCAGTCCTGAGCCTAATATGCTTGGCTCATATGTAACATGAATAAACAGTAAAGAAACTGGGGTGTGTCTGGTGAGCAGAACTAATTAAAAAAAAATAAGCTACCAAGAAGAGAAGTCTAAATTGTTTTTGCTCTCATTCGTTTGCTGTAGCTTAATATTTCCTGGAGTTCGAGTAGGACCTGACAGTCAGTTCAGTGATTTTCTTGATGGACTGGGGCCAGCTCAGCTTGTTGGGCGCCAAACCCTTGCCACACCTGCCATGGGTAAGGATTATTGTTTGCAATTTTATAGTTGACACGGTCATTTTAAATTGTATAATGGTATTACAAATAAATGAGATATTACTATTCTCAAACATAAGGCATAAATGACATTGCAGGAACACAACACAAATTGTATGTTATGATTCACAAGACACAAGCTGAAAAAGTAAAGAATGAAATCAGCAAAAACTGCTTGAATGAAGTATGACTATATGGCTTCAGGACAGATGAGATACTACCAATGCCAAATCCACTGCCTTGATTTGAGGTTTCTCTTCCACTGGAGGAATTTTTGTTTATAAGGGCTGGGGATCAAGAATTGGAGTCACTCAAGTGACCCACCATTTTCCTGGTTCAGATTAAATGGTTGGCCTCAGCTTTGAATATATATAGGTAAGCTAGGTGTAAATGGATGGATCACTAGAAATGGGGAATTATAGTCACCTAAGTTATTCATTAATGTGATTAGAAATTGCACACACTTTATAGAAACAAATGTAAATAATTTCTAAAAAAACATGACAAGCACAATAGCATATTTTTCTGAAAACAATATTGTAAATACAGCCAGTCACTAGGCACCAGCACATATAACCAGGTAAGAAGGAAAAGTGAAAACATTTATTTTAAGTGCAAAAGCAGTAGAAGATAGAAAACAACACAAAATGACTCCACATATTAAAGTTAAGCAGGTAGACTAAAAGATATGGGGGGTCAGGTGTAAAGAGCACTCATTGATATTCCAATGGACCCTAATTCTCAGCACCCATAATCTCTGGCTGTAACTGCAGCTCCAAGGGATCTTATGGGTCCACAGATCACAAGGAACGACCTTAACCCCCACACAGGATGCTTGGTGACATGTGTGGGCACTTTGACTATTCATATGGTTATACCTATAAACTTAAAATCTGGAAATGTACTAGTCAAGAAATAACCAACAAAGTATTTGACAATTCTTACACCATCATTCATTATGGTTCAGATTGCAGCAATGTAAACAAACCAGATTTGCATCAACAGAAGTTCCCTTAAATATGTTGAAATCATGTTCATTTCACAGTCTATGCTGTCAATAACACAGCTATACTATCATGTAGACAGTATTTATTAGGTTGTTGTAGTAAACAAAATTACACCAGTGGCTTTTTCTCAATGTCAAAATTCAGACAATGGCAACTTGTCATTGCTAAGTAAATATGGTAGGTGGCGTAAGAGCAAGAAGACTTCACCAAGGTCCACACATTTTATAAACACCTTAGTGTTGTGGGTAGTAATTCTTTTTTAACCAGTGTGCAAATCTCCAAAGATGGATTAGGGAACCATTGAGATGGCTCTGTTAAGAAAGGTACTTGCTGTCAAACTCAAGACCTAGGTTCAACCCAAGATCCTCATGGTAGAAGGAGAAAACCAACCCTGGCAAGTTGTCCCCTTCACACACAGAGACACACACAGACATAACAGACACAGACACACACACACACACACACACACACACACACACACACACACACACGCACCATGCACATACATCAAAAATTAAATAAATATTATAGAAATTAAAGGTGTATTAGCACCAGAACAAAATTCTGGAAAAATACTTTAAAAGATTGATTTGTAAATCTGAGAAAGAAAAGCCAGTTGAAAGGAGCGTGTATGCCGACGTTTATTAACCATCACAGAAACTCTTCAGCATCTGCTGGCAATGTTCCTCCTGCTTTCTTCCTTGTCTCATGACTTGAGTAGAAGCCGAGATTTTCTTTTGTCTTCATTTTCAGGTGATATCCAAATCGGGATGGAGGATAAAAAGGGCCAGTTGGAAGTTGAAGTTATCAGAGCCCGGAGCCTTACACAAAAACCTGGCTCCAAGTCTACACCTGGTAAGGAAAAGGCGCACTGATTTGAACAGGGCTCTTTTGAGGTGTATTTGTTTTAACTGTTGTGTTGGCCTGCACATCCTTATACCCATGCAGTGCTCATGGGGGCCAGGAGAGGGCACTGAACTTCCTGAAACTATTGTAAGCTACCATGGGGATGCTAGGAACTGATCCCAGGTCCTCTGCAGGAATAGTATGTGTTCTTCACTATTGAGCTATCTCTAAAGTCCCTGAGCAACACTTAAATATGGAAAAATCTTGAAAATTATGTTACATTTAGGTTTATGTTTCATCTTAGCCAAAAGGGTGAGAAAATAACGCATTTAAATCTTCATTGGACTGCTTAAAAAGCAACTTTCTGTGACCTTTGATTTTATAAAAATAGATCTGAGTTTTCTTTTGTAGGGAAGTAACAAGAAAATTCTTTTCTTTTTTTTTTTAAATAATTGCAGCCATTTGTTGTGCTAAATAGTTTTTCTGCATTCCTAAAACTGCAAAAGAAAAAAACAATGAGGTTTAAGATGTAAACTTCACTGTAATGCCAGCCCTGACTCAAATCAATGATTCAAGATCATTGTGTGGGCATTTCGTTGAAATGAAAAAAGACACAATAGTGCTGATGTATGTATGGATTGTAAGGAGGAGAATTTTTAGAGCGGTGGAAATGTACATATAGTAAGAAACTCCAAGTCCCCAGTAAGGCATCAACTAATAAAAGTAGAGTTAGTTCAAGCAATGCATTCTTACATGTCTACTTGCCTTTGTTAGCACCCTATGTAAAAGTGTATCTCTTGGAAAATGGAGCCTGTATTGCCAAAAAGAAGACAAGAATTGCACGGAAAACCCTCGACCCTCTGTACCAGCAGTCCCTGGTTTTTGATGAAAGTCCACAGGGTAAAGTTCTTCAGGTCAGTAAGACTTCGCTTGGCTAGTTCCGTGGTGATAGCTGTTAGCCCAACTAAAGATGTGAACAGCATTGAAGACAATTAATTCAGTAAAGCCTAACTTAATAATGTCCTTGGATAGAAAGATAGAGACTGGTCGGTTTATAATACAATATCTACATAGTGTTAAGAATATATGGCATATGTAGTGGAAGGAAACAAAATGTAATATCTTTCTCTTTCCCTCCTTGCTCCTCTATTCTCTCCCAATAACCTTTTTGTCATATTTTTTTCTCTTCTTGATACATAGCCATATTGAAGGTAGATGATATAGAGTAAGATAGTGATGGTAGTTAGATGGACGATAGATGAAAAGATGATAGATGATTAGATAGATAGATAGATAGATAGAGAGATGATAGGTGGGTAGATATATTGATGATAGATGATAGATACATAAAGAGATACCATGGCAAAAATTATAACAATAATTGATTGATCATTACTCAATATCAGACATGAGCTATAAAATGGAAGAATGTATAATAAAGGGAATAGATACCAGCAAATAGCCATTATTAGGTACTTCCATACATACCTCTTTTAAAGTTTCTGGTAACTTTTTTCCTAAATATCATTATTTCTATGGTAAAAGTTGTATTTTAGGATCACAGAAATGAAGTAATTTGTATAATGGTACATTGAGGAGGCAAGGTTCAGCAGGTGAATGGTTCATAACCAAACTCTAATAGATGACCTCAGGATTAGAACACAGACCCCAAGAATGTGTGTAATGGAAGGCTTGTCTCTCACCAGTGTAGCTAATAGTAATTAATGTCTGTAAGCTCACTTGCTCACTACTCCTCTGATCAAATTAAACTATCGAGCAGATCAATTATATCTCTACCTGCCCCTGCACTACCAAGTCTGTAATTTAAATGAAGTATGCTTGCCCTCATTCTGTTTGCAAAAGCCATTGAAAATGTAATTCACTGTACCCCCAGTCAGATTGCTTGGCTTGCCCTCCTTGATAAACAGATTTCAATTTTTGTATATGTACAGCGTTATCATTTTTTACTATACAAAAGTCCCACAAGGGCAGTGCAAATTTATACTTATACAGTGCTGATTTATATATTTATAAACACATGTAGATATTTGTTTGCATGCTTTCTCTTAGATAGTCTAGTTCCTTAACCTATACCTACTCCACCCTTTTATAGCATGGGAGGTGTGAAGCCCTCATCTTTGGAAAAAGGAAGTTCAAATTACATTGTGTCTCTGTCTACAGGTGATCGTCTGGGGTGACTATGGAAGAATGGACCACAAATGTTTTATGGGTGTGGCTCAAATATTGTTGGAAGAACTTGATCTGTCCAGCATGGTGATTGGATGGTATAAATTGTTCCCTCCGTCATCATTGGTGGATCCCACACTCACTCCTCTGACCCGCCGGGCTTCCCAATCATCTCTGGAGAGTTCATCTGGGCCTCCCTGCATTCGATCATAGTAAACTCTCTCCTTCCAACCAAACTTCACATTTCAGGATAATTATCAGAAACCAGATATTTCATGATCAAGAGCATTGTTGGAGACAGACAATCAACTTGTGTTTTGCCTGTAGTAGTTTTTCGATATGTCCCAATTGTTGTTGAAAACATGGCTTCATATGACAGAACAAGGCAGTCATTCAAATTACATTAAGAAGAGACTTGCTAGTGAGAGTCACTGATGCTTCCAGCAAATAGAAAAAGAAGACACTGTCGAGTACACACATACACACACACACACACACACACACACACACACACACACACACACACCATATAGAACAAACTGGAAACTCTCACTCTGAAAAGTTGTACTTCACATGCTTCTGCACAGACCACAAGCGGGGTTATTTCCCTGGTGTTTAAGGTTGTTTAGTTCGTCTGTGCGCTTTATGACTTGTGTGCGATTTGCTGGTTATTTTCTTTCCTTGTCTTTGTTTCTCTGTCTTCACTGTCTTTGTTATTTGCACTTTTTTTTCCTTTGCTTTGTTTTTCTTTGCTCTGTCATAACAGGGTTAGTGGTGATAACAGAGGCCCTTCCTTCCTTTCTTATTTTTTTTTTTCCCAAAAGCACCAAAAAGGGCTGAAGCGGTTTCTGTAACATTTCCCCCCCAAAATTTTCAAAGACTCGGCGAGGTAATGCCAGGGAAGGGTATCACTGGCACTCAGGTTATAGTTCTTCCAAGTGTTGCCTGTAGAACTCTCCCACCACCCAAGGAAAGCTTGCCTTCCAAGCTAGTAGTCACAGAGTCACTTTTTCAGTGAAGAGCTTATCTGTGTGCATTCCAGATAATTTGTTTCTGTTTTCCATTCTTCATCATGGAAGACTTGCAAGTTGATGAACAACTCATGGTAGGGATGAAGGCTAATCCCGTAATAATGCTTTGGAAACCCTTTGTGCGATGCCTTTTATTCCAGAAAACAAAAGAAAAGAAAATGCTCACATGTAGGAACCATACTCTCAACTTCCCAAAATGGTGACTAAGAGTGGATTTTAGCCTAAGACACTTTCAGCTATGCCCAGGCTTGTCAGCCATGCCTTAGTGTAGACTCTCTCATCTGCCCTGAAAAGAGCATGGTATGAGCCGATTAATATTGCACTGGAAATTCCAGTTAAGATACTCTGCACTGAACTAACGTTTTTTATTGGATTTTAATTTATATTTCTTTAAGGTAAATGCAAGCACAAAGCTTGATTTTTTTTTTTAATGCACAATATCTTACTTTGGGGGAAGAAAAAGAATACAGTCAAATTCCAATTTGCATATCCTTCTTTTGGGTTTTCTTGGCCTTGGATTTCCCTTGTGACCTTCTGTGTATGTGCTGCAGGCACCTGGTCGAGCAGCTGCATTGATAGCGATATGCTCTCCCTCCTTTTCTGAGTCGTTCAACTTTTGTGATTTCACAGTTAGAGCAGCATGACTTGGAGCTGTTCAAAGCTGCATGAACATTTTGTATAAAAAAAAATATGAAAACGAAAGAAAAAAAAAAGCAAAGAGACAAAAAGGTTATTTAATAATGTATGTTAGCTCCACGTAGGCCAGCTTGTATGTTGCATGTACTTGTACAGTTTGCTCGTTAATTAATATACTGAAATAATCAAGAAATCTAAGCCATCCATTTTTGTTATAGACATTTTGCAGGTTTTAGCCAGACTCAGAAAGTGGGCCTGGGGTGAAATGTCTATAGATGGACTTTATTTTTTACCCTCTGGAAAACGTGATGTAGTATGGACCAAATTCCTTCTAATAAATATTTTGGTGTAGATTCCTCCTGTGGGGCTGTAACACATGTAGACACTGTGTACACACTAGGTTTTAATCCATAGACATACTGCCTGCACCAAGTGAATTATTTATTATTATTTACACATGTCAGAAATACCTGCCCATCATTCTACAGGGCACAGATTGACCACCACCACTCACCGTGCTGTGCAGGAAGACCCGAAGCAATTGGTGCACTTCTACTAGATTCCGTTCTGTCTTAGTGGCCAACAATCAACTGATGATAATTGGGTAGTATCTTTCTATTTTGACCACTTGTCTTAACACTCCCCTGTGCTTTTAAATGAACTCCCCCACTCATGTATGTAAACATGTTTAATAAAATTTACTTTTCATGTCAGTCAGTAGCCATCCGTGTTCTGTGTTTTGCCAGCTTTCCATTGTGGGTTCTTTGGTGCAAAATGAGAGCCAGCTGATGGGAAGGGGAGGCTGGGGTTTGCTGTCTGCTGCGGGCATTTGATTGACCTGTCACTGCGCTATATATGTCTTAACTTATGACCTGAGAGGTACTTTGCATTACATATGAGTATTCACTTTGTCAGCCTGTCTAAGTGAGCACATGACTATACTTCTGAAAAGTGGCATTATTAAAAACAATAAATCTCAGTAAGAATCAAATGAAGGTTGTTTTTCTGCTGCTGTTTGAATGTGCTAATAAAAGAGGCAACTCCGTTGTCCAGTTGACAAATCATTTCAAGTGATATGACATATTGAAGTACCAATTCTTGCGCCTCTTGTCATAGTGTCTTTACCTTCTCTCAGTCTTTTCCTTCTAGACCATTACCTAGCTCATGGGACCTTGCCTAAAATAGGCTGACTTGAAATAAACTAATTCTGTGTTGACTCTGAGTCACCAAAATAACACTTTCAATACTAATAGGTAAGTCAACTTGTATGTTAAAAGAGACTATATTAGCCTTTTAACTTCTTTTTGTAGACTACCCTGGATTCCACCTAATAAGAAAAAAATAAACACTGTGGTATGAATATCATAACTGACATAGACAAGCAACTTAAGAGGTCACACCAATTGTTGTTTTAATTTTAAAATAATTGTGTGGCTTCTTGGCCATGGAGTGATCTAATTGATGGGCCTACAAAAGATGATATTATTCATTATGTTAGATTGAGGGGACACTAACACCATGTTCAGTTCCATTTACAACAACCAGTGAACCTGTTCCATATGCATTCATTTACATATGGCTGCATGAGGGCAGAGCACTAACCTGGGTAGATACCAGAAGCAGCTAAAGGTAGCTTTGGAATTTTTTGTCTAGGCCTGAAGAAAAAATAAATCTCCCCTTTCACGTGAGGAAAACCAACCATGTCTTATCATTTCCTGGTCTACACTGATGGAACAAAAAGGGGGGCGTGTATTTGAAAGTGAATCGTTCATAAAGGGATCCCATGGCACTGTGGTGAGTTCTCACAAACACTCTGTAAGTCCTGCTAGGACTCCTGATTGATATAGCAAGCTCTGCAGCTTAGATCTACCAAAGCAGGAGATGCTGCTGCTGATTGGGCAACATATCAGGCAACATTCAAACTCAACACAAGTTCAGGATCCTTCCACAGTATGCCATTCTCCACTGTCCTACACTTTACCTAGGTGTGCATTTTCCCAGGAATGAAGGACCTGAATATAGTTCATTCTTTCAAACAATTCCTGTCCCTTTTGGCCTCCTATATGCTATGCTGCTTAAGTGACACAGTTACTATGGGGGCAATGGGAGAGAAGACTCTTTCAAAGTCTTTTCTCCTCCTCACTGTCTCCCTCCAACTTTGGTCAGATTTTCAATTTGCAGCTTCATGAGTACATGCACCACCTATGGCTCTCAGGAACAGTATTAATGATGGACATAAACCAAAGCTTCTAGTAGCTTGGTCCTAGACTTATCCTTAGTTTTAAACTTAAATTGGTTTTGAAGTACATTTACCTGACTTACCTCCTGAAAAGTAAACCAAGCCTGATCAATTGGGACCAGTCAGAATGTGTGTGTGTGTGTGTGTGTGTGTGTGTGTGTGCGTGTGTGTGTGTGTGTGTGTGTGTGTGTGAGTAACAACTGAAGAAATAAAGGCTATGAGTTAGAGCAAGAACAAGGGCATATGGTACATGGGAAGGGCTATAGGGAAGAAAGGAAGGGGAATGATGTAGTTACACTCTAATTTCCAAAAAGAAAAAGAAAAATGAGATAAAAATGTATTGGTTCTATTGAATACAATGAAGCAGTAATTAGAAAAACAAGACAACCTAACTAAAAAGAAAAGGTCCAAGTCCTCTGCCAGGCAAGATGTCCTTTCTGGTTTAATCATGGCATAACTGTTGGAAGCATAACCAACTGCATTCTAATTGGATATGTGCCCTGCTCTAGAGGAGGGAATTCATACATGGTACCAAACCTAGCCAAAATTCCATAGATTATTCTTCTTTCAAATTTGGTCTTTACATAGTGATCAACAGTCAAATCCAAGGCCCATTAACCAGTCAAAGTGTTCAAAATAAGTGAACGTTGAGGCTCAGCCCTAAATGGGACATTACTATTATTCCTCCCTTAGACTCACGGAATATCATGGAAGAAAGTGATGGAAAGAGCATGGGAACTAGAGGATAGGAGTAATTCTGTGAAATGTTATCTTCTAGCCATGACAATCATTGCATTCATTACTTATAGCAGCTCTGGTTACCTGGCAGCACATAACCTGCACACAATAAAATCAGTCAGACACTTAACTCTCCCTCCCGATGCAAGTGGAACCTGAGGGTCCAGTGGTCACTGATGAGGTGGCAGGGGGTGTTTGGTGGAGGAGGGCATAAGTATTTGTTCATTGGAGGTATCTTGGGTGGGAGAGGGCCTAAAAAGCAGCGACTTCCAGCTGGGATATCTTCCCCTAAGTAAAACTCATAAATGGATTCAAGAAAAAAGTCACATGATCATGTCAGTACATGCAGGAAAATCCTTTGAAAAACTCTACTGGATCTTCGTGATAAAAGCCTTGAGAGGCTAAGGGTAAAGGAAACCATCACAGAAGAAAGGTGGAAAGAATCTAAGAGATGGAGAATGGAAAAGAGTAGTGTAGAGCACTGGAGAGATGTCTTCTGAACACAAAATGCCTGTGTGTCCTTGAACTTGCAGCAGGAAAGACTGTCTCCACAAGACTTTGCTCCATCATGGAGGATATGGGGATCATGAAGCCAGACATCTTCCTGGGGAGCTATAGACAGCAAATCATTGGGAGGTTTAGGCATGATGCAAGAATCATGTTCCACAGCAAAGTTGTTCAAATAAATCAACCCACCCACATTCATGAAGTCCTAGATAGAACAATAAGACAACAAGAAGAGATCAAGGATGCAAATTGGAAGTGAGGATGTCAATTTTTCACTATTTGTAGATGATGATGATGATGATGGTGTGTGTGTGTGTGTGTGTGTGATATATGATAGTTTACATAAGTAACACAAAAAATTCTACCAGGGAATTCCTGCATCTGAAAAACACCTTCAGTAATGTGGTAGGATACACGATTAATTAAAAAAATCAGTAGCCCTCCTATATAGAAATGATAAAAGGAGTGAGAAAGAAATCAAAGAAACATCACCCTTTACAATAGCTGAAAATAACATAAAATATCTTGGGGTAATTCTAACAAAACAAGCAAAAGACCTGTATAACAAGAACTT